GGAACTACCAGCCGGCGTAAAAACTTCGGATCCAACAAACACAGGTAATGCTGTGATTTGGCGGGATACGCAGGAGAACGGAAAGGGGGTAAAATAACCCCGGGAGATTAGTGGTTGACAATATATCTGGGGCCTGCCATACGTTCCCATACTCATACTCATAAAAACCTTTTTGCTACCGTGCTCGAAATACGACGTTGCAACGTTATAAAAATGCCATTATAAAATCTAAAATATCATCATTTTGAATGTTTATTATTGAAAACGTTTGCCCACTCAGTTTCTGTTACGCCACTGGGCACAACTTACAAATTCAAATATTAATATTTATTGCTTAAACGGGAAAACCCCATTACAGTATAAACATTACATATAAAGGTTGTGTCTTGAAAAGAAGACAATTACAGTTAATCACTAAATTAAAAATAAGTAACAAATTCTTTAAACAGATAGTTAACATTAATAATAAAAAAAATAACAATTCATTTATCCAATAGTTAACAATAATAATAACAAATACTAATTATAGGTATATCACTAAGTTAACAAATAATATTCAAATAGAGATCACAAGTTAAATTAATTCGATTAAAGCTCTCTTAAAGGAACGAAAAGAACCCCTAAATACATCCAGCCTTTCCTCCCTATTTAAAAAATTCAAAGACCTCTCAAAAAAAAAATGTTTACCAAAATTGGTCCTATGATTTCTTATAAAAAATAAATTATTGTGTCTTAGTATTCTTTGTGGTGTAGTAAATTTAATTTGAGAGAGTAGAAATGGACTAGATATTATACCATTTAATAATTTATAAAGAACACAGATGTCGAACATAGTTCGTCTCTTTTCCAAGGAACATAAATCAAAATGAACTAATATATCAGAATAATCATGGTCAGCAATAATATTAAGGTTAAATTTAAAATTACAGTATCTCAAAAACTTGTGTTGAACTCTTTCCAGCAAATCCTTATACACATTGTATTGTGGAGACCAGATAACTGAACAATATTCAAGTTGAGATCTAACCAACCCTACAAATACCGATCTCACTGCATCTATAGAGAGACCTTGACAATTCCTCAATGTAAATCCCAACATTCTGCTAGCTTTCACAACTAGTTGATGTATGTGGTTGGAGAAACTTAAACGAGAGTCAAACAGTATTCCTAGATCCATGGCCTCTTCCCTTCTACACAATTGTTGCCCATTTATGGAATAAAAAGTATTAATTCTCCTTTTTTTCTTGCAAAACGAAATATGAAAACACTTATTGATATTTAAATTTAACAAATTTTGCTCACACCAAGTTGAGAGACTATCAAGATCCCTTTGAACCAAGCTAGCATCCAGATCACTACCCACTATCCGAAACAACTTAAGATCATCTGCAAACATTAGAAACTCACAGTTCTTAATGTGATTTTTGAGGTCATTAACAAATAGGTTAAATAATAAGGGAGAGCAATGTCCCCCTTGGGGAACACCAGAGCTGACTTTGATCGCCTTGGACAAAAAATTACCAATTTTAACTCTTTGACTTCTATCACTGAGGAAACCAAGCAACCAACTGGCTAACCTATCCGAAAAGCCTAAATTACTTAACTTCCCTATCAGCAGAAGGTGGTTTACCCTATCAAACGCCTTGGAGAAGTCAGTATAAACTGCATCAACCTCGAGCAAGTTGGTTACTGTGGATTTCCCAGCCCTGAAGCCATGCTGTTCATCAATAACAATTCCCTTGCAGTGCCAGCTTAAGTGACTAAACATCAAGCTGTCACACACTTTAGGAATTGAAGACTGTATAGAGACACTACGATAATTTTTAACATCTTCCCTTGATCCAGATTTAAATATAGGAGAAATATAGCTCTCTTTCCATATCTCTGGGAAGATCCCAGTAGACAGAGACAAATTAAAGAGTTTGCACAAAAATTGAGACAGAGCATATCTGCATTGTCTTAGTACTATATTAGGAATGCCATCTGGACCAACTAAAAGCTTGTTAGGGAGAGAACCTAACTTATCAAAAACCTGAGAAACTCCAAAGACAGGACAATCAATATGACTCTGGCTATAAGATATATCAGGAGGTGTTCCATTTTCATCAGAGTAAACTGTAGAAAAGTGATTAGCGAATAGGTCAACAATTTGTTGCCCATTAGTAGCAGCTAAATTGTTGAGGACCATATTTTTTGGAATATTATTAGATGTTCTATTTTTATTTATAAATTTCCAGAAGTTCTTAGGGTTACTAGTGAGATCGCTACTTGCAGAGTTTAGATGATTCTTATAACATTCACTGACTAACCTTTTACACTGGGCTCTCACCACACTAAATTCATAGTAATCCCTTGCATCCCGTGACAACTGGTATTTTTTATGTTTATTTTTCTTAAGCAAGATCAATTTTTTTAGTTCACTAGAAAAATAAGGAGGAAAGCTAGACGTTATAAATTTTTTACCTGGAATAAAACATTCTATACCAAAATTTAAAATACTATAGAATTTAGCTGTGACAGTGTTAATGTCACCGTCAGCCAAAATACTATCCCAATCTACTGAAAATAAATAATCGTTGAATCCCTGATAATTCCCATTTTTAAAATCAAAATAAAATTCTTCAACTTTAAGAGAGTTTAACTTTTCACTTAACACATTAAAGCTACAGATATACGATATATGATGAATAGAGTCACCAAATAAAGGGTCCAGTGACTTAACACAATCTACAGAACTGTCATTTGTGAAAAGCAAATCCAGGAACACCCCTCTGCTGTTTGGTACTTCGAACTTTTGGTACATATTGAAAAAACCATACGTTTGTGCAAGAAACAGTGCTGGTGAGTTGGATGGACATACAACTTCCACGCCATTAACCGCATTAGACCACTGCACACCCGGCAAATTAAAGTCCCCAACAATATACAGTTTAGTGCTGGGATGTGTGACACAGATTTCCTCCAACACTAGACAGTGGTCACTATAACAGTCATCATATACCCCAGGGGGTATATAAACCCCTCCCACAATAAAATCTGTTCCAGAATGTCTACACAAAATGTACAACTGTTCAAAATTTGTCGCAGTTTTTTTAATAATTGATGCCTGGATTTGATTTCTTACCATTATCAATACACCTCCCCCTCTTTTCTTTAATGTAACTTGAGCATTTCGATCAGCACGAAATATATTATAACTACCACAACTCAATTCCTCAGAAAATATTTCCTCACACAGCCAACTTTCAGTAATAACAATAATGTCATAATTTGTACTACTAACTGCAACTTTTAATTCTGCCAATTTCGTGCGAAGTCCCCCAGCATTTTGATAGTACAACTGTAACGGGGTAGAAACTAGTTTTTTTTCTTAGTAGTAGTTTGTCCATCATTTTTTACAACCCTGGGACAACCATTAAAGTACCGAATAACATACCCCTTCTCATCCTTACTATTCTTTGCTTCGAGCTCAGTTAACACTTTTTTAAATTGCTCTCTCTGTAGAACAGTTAAATCAGATTTTACTCTGTAGTCAGATTGTAACAATTTATTCTTTACTTTCAATACCTTTTTAACAAGAGATGAATCTGAGCAAATAATTTTTAGAGGCCTACAAGAGCCATCCTTCTTTTTACCTAATCGAATAACTTTTTCAATCTTATTTATTCCTTCCAATTCTTGAATGTTTAAGGTATTAAACACTTCTTGAACTATTCTCTTATCGTCATTTATTCTCTCATTTAACTCATTGCTACCTGACTCTTTTGCATTATATATTATAAAGTTATTAGATCTACCCATTCTATCCTGCACCTCATTAAACACTTGCTCCGCATTCAACTCCCCACTTTCAAAGCTACATTTATGTACTTTATCTTCCAGCTCCAATATTTTGTTGGATAAGATTTGGTTATGATTTTTTAATTCAGTAAAGTCTTCCAGAAAACTGTTGAGGCGTACGGATATATCATTAAGTTTGACATTTAAACACTCCATCAATTCATTCTTAAACGTTGTTAGACTGTTTGTAATTAACTCCTGCATTGAACCACCATTCGTAATGACCTCGGTATCACAGTTTGAACATTTCCATTTGGCACCATCAGGGTTTTTTAACTCGTTTGCATAGAAACCCAGTCTACTGTTGTCCAACCCAACGCATTTTCCGTGAAACCATTTTCCGCATAAACAACACCCAATGGAGCCTGAGCCACATGTGCCTTTGCACGTTTCACACTTATATTTACTCATTATGATTGAAATTAGTAACCAATAGTATCATTAGCACTTTAATCGGTCCCAAACGTAGAAAACCGAATTAATTAACTGTAATTTCTTAAATATTTAAGACTACTTCAAACTAACTAATCTAGGTTAGTCTATAGTTAAAATGTGAATTTGTGACAAAACTAGGGGAGCTCAACCAGAGACGGGGGTCGAAAAAGGTCAAAAATTGCGTGACGTTATATGTGAACATACTTACATATATAATATTATTTAAAAATAAAAATGACTAAAATAGTACCCATCGATTAAAGATTATATTTTAAATCCAACAATACAATAATATAACTGGACAATGCAAAGCTGTAGTTCTACATTTTTCCAACAACTAAAAAATACTAAATTTTATTTTACACCGCTGAAATATAAAAGATTTTGCTGCTATATTTTGGGAATATAGAAGATTTTTGTTAAATATAGAAGACTTCTATTAAATATAGGTCTAGCAATCCTAAAAAATGTATATTTCCGAAAAATTTGAGCGTTATATGACTATAGTCATATAGCAAACTTTTATATCTAACCTGTGGGATAATAAATAAGCCAGTTAATTTTTTATTCTTACAAGTACACAGGGTTTCCCGAAAAAACATATTTTTAAACCAAAAGTACTTTTTAAATAAAATTTTTGTAATTTTTTTATACTCAAAAAACCTCCATCATACACACTAATATTATATTATTGTAATATTGTATCCTATTTTAATTAAACCTACCTTGTTTGATCATTATTTTTTCCGTCATTAGAAATTGGATTAAACTTAACGTCTTGTCCAGCTAATTGATATAGTTTAAGATGTACTTGGCTGTTGACTTCTCTCTCGACTTTTTTATTTTTCTTATCGAACCCTGCGATTTCACCGTCTGGTGGATCTTCTCCAGTCTTAATTTGCACGCCTAGGGCCAAAGCCAAGGCTTCAGACCGTTTATTAAGAATTAACTTATCCTTATCCAAAACGTTTTGTTTGGGTGTGTCGTTTGTTTCATTGATATTTTTTGGATCTTTTTTTCCAAAAGCCCCGGGTAGCGGATACTGCACCAAACTGGGAACCTTCTTTCTAGCCAAATCGTGATGGTCGTCGTCGCTATGATTATCCTCATAATCAAGCGCATTATAATCCACTTCTTTGTCGCGGTGCTGTTGTTTTTCTGGCGTGTAAGTTTGCTCCTTTGAACGATTCAGACTACCAACGGAGTTGTCAAGGCTGCGGTCGTTGCGAGATCGCTTCTCCTCGCGTTTTTTTCGTTCAATTTCCACGCGCTCGAACTCTGAGAGCTTAATGACACGCAATTCTTCTTTTTTCCAGTGAATCGGAGTGGCGCTTCGGGAACGGCTGCGCGAAGGTGTTCTATACCTCTGTAAGGAAAATGAGATGTATATTTGCAGAAAATAGTAATGCACTGCAGTTTTGTAAAGACCATCTCAAAAAGCAGTATTATTGGAGATTGCAATAACTATAAAAAAGACTTTGCTGCAAGAAGGATGTGTCTGTCATTTTTGCCCGTTTTTGGTTACCAAAAAATTATTTATTTTCAAAAAGTTTTAGTATGGTAATGTATCAGTATGATTCTGTTCTTAAATCTCTTATAAAATTCTCGACAGGGAAGGCTTTGGGCATACAGTAGAAACCACTAATATATGAACGTGACTCATCCGACACATTCGTACGAAGCAATCTATCGAAGGTCACGGTCCAGTGCAGTCTCGTTTGTAAAAAAATTTGAGTGTAATGTTGGTTGCTATACTTATGATATATTTGCTTTTAAAGTTAAATAATTAACATCTAACATAATTAACATCTACGATAATTAAATAAACTGTAATTTTCTTAGAAACTAATTAATAAATAAACTTTTCTTTTAACTTTAATGAAATATTCTATCATCTGATTACAGAACGTACACTCGTGGCGACATCTCTGATTTTAATAACAAATTTTTAGACCGACCCAACCTCACTTTCTTCCAATTAAATTCTTAGTATAGTCTGAAACACGTTTGGAATTGCATATTCCCCTCTCGTGAAACCGTCAAACTTGTTACAGAATATACTATTCTTTTAACTGTAAACGCAAATATTTCAGAATTGGTGACAAAAAACAAAAATGTTTACGCAGGTCAGGTACAAAGTGAAAGATATTTAAATTGTGTGGATATAAAAACAACTTGCGTTAGTTTCACGAAATTTATTAAATATTGACAATTGTTTCGCTACACAGTAGCTTCTTCAGAATGTATTAAACTAATACTAGTACAAAATTTATATGTATAATAAAAATATTTTTGTATTCTAGCCTAGAATTTCTAGGTAAGGATTTTTATACGACATCTACCTGTGTTACATAATATAAACCACTGCCACTACAACGTTTAAAACGATTATTAATCCGTAAACACACAGTAGAAACAAGATATGCAAAAACAAAGATCATATGACATATAAAAACAAATGGCCGACGGTAAAGTTGGTTGCCTTACTATGTAATAAAATAAAATAAATTCCTAAAACACGAACTCTACTGACTTCCAATAAAATTAAGTAACAAGCTAGGACACAAGCGTCATATGTCCATCTTTGTCCAACACCTAGGCAGTTTTACATCACAGATGGCGCATTTTAGACCGGATGCTTAAAAACCTACGTGTGAGTACATTTACCGCTGCATCGAATGTACAAGACAAGTAAAACATTACTGCTAGCATGTCTGAGATATGTTCGGCACCCGATGAGTCACGTTCATATATTGACGGTTTCTACTGTAGCTAAGGTGGGCGACTGTTTAGGGCCTCGCGCTTTTTTTGCAATCGTACACGGTTCTAGACATACCTCGACATACACAAAGTATTCTGTTTTTACTCTCTGAAACAATTGTGTCCCTCAGAGATTAATTTTGGGATCCTACACTGAAAAAAATTTACGAAATTTTACACATCCAAACACACATTTATTTCTGTTTTTTTACTTAAGAAATGTGTTGTTCCATATAAAACATGTACACACATACTTACATAAGTAAAATAGCATCAATTTATGTATTTTTTTAAATTAATATGTAGTTTTTCATATTATTATGTAATAAATCCTTAAATTTATGTGCTTTTACATTTTTTAATGTACTTGTACTATTATTTTCATAAATTTTAGATTTACATGACCTTTGCATTTTTACACATTATATGTAGTTTTACAGTATGTTTGTACATATACATTTAAATACGTGGCATCAAAATAACCAACGATCAGATGTGTAAATTTACTAAATATTTTTTTGAGTGTACTTACCGTATTTTCACGCTAAATATATAAAGTACCGAGTGCTGAGTGGATATTTTGCAGCGGCGATGGCACACTGCAGTGCACCATTCGAGCGTTATTTGGGTTTCAACTATTTTAAGGCACTGTAGACCTTTAGCGTGAACATATGGTATAAACTTTATATAAACAACCTTAGCCAAAACTACACATGACAAAATGTGTGCATATGACCTGGCACAATTCTACAATAACGAAAACAACAAAGATACAGAAAGTAAAGTTAAACAAAATCTGAATACACTACAAAAAATAGACTAAAGCTAATCAACTTAACCTAAATTATCAAAAATGTCACATTATAGACTTTGAATCTACTAGAACAAGTGATCAAAATTAAGGAGGCACTAAAGGAAGTAACATCTAATAACTAGGATTAAACATCGACAACTAAGCTGGAAGTATAGAATGGAATGATCCACACAGAGAATCTCTATAAAAATACACAACAACTAAATATTAAAAAACTGAGATAATGAAAAACCCACAAACTAGTGCATTGTAACAAAGGAGATAAAGGATGAAGAAGTAACCTTTAGAAAAAACAATCACTTTAGACACTTAGAAAAAGACAAAACAAGTTATGGAGAAATGAAACAAGGGTGAGAGAACATAAAAACCCAACTAAGAGGACGCGTCGAGCGTTTAAAACCAATGTAAAATATTTTATTTTACACCAAAGGAAGACTATTTATTTTATTGTAAAAACCATATTTATGTATTGAATATTGTATTTATTTAATTTTATTTATTTAATTCTTTTATCCGATATATCATTATTGTAATACTTTGAACCTATTTTTTTGTACAAAAAAATACTGACAGATACATCCTTCCCATGGATTTGGAATTTTATATACACGTATTTTGCGGCAGGCGTGAGTCAGTCATTTAGTTAAAATAAGCTCATACACTCAAGAATGTCACCCGAGCCAACGTAGAGCAAGTCCAAAAACCTGATTTTTAAAGGTGATATAGAAACAGGGCATTTTTATCATTGGGCAAAAACTTATCAAACCAGCATGCATGCGTCTATAATGTAAGTCAACTAAGGACTCAATGTAAAAGCACGCGTGCAAATGCATAATGCAGGTAAAATGAACTTCCAAATGTTATCTGGGTTTTTGAAACAGGCCTTTCCTGTAGGAGTAAAGTGGATTGAAGCTATAATATATTATAATATATACACATGTTATTGATATATATATAGTAATTTAATCCTAGATTATTTAATAATTGTTATACAGGGTATTCAAATAGGTTTTAAGCAAGTTGTCCATTTTCTGTGAACACTAATTCTTTCGTGACAGCCGGCGCCTGCATAGCGCTTATTACCAAATATTTTAAGCTACTGAATCTACAGTGGAAATACACAATACAGTACAACTGGTAATGAGCGTGATACAGACGGCGTGCTGTCACAATAAAATTATAGTTCTGGTAAAATCATTGTTTTTAGACAAAGGTTAAACGAACGCATTTCATTGAAACAAAAATTCCTTGAACCAAGTTTTCATATCTTTTTTAGACACCCTGTATATTTTTTTGAGTTTCTGGGTATTAATGTTAAAAAACTTGATGAATATATGCAGGACTATCGGAACAACGGCAAAATATGTCTTTCTATAAACTTATTTAAAAAAGTTACCAATGAATTTATTATTATAATATTATTATTACATATATGTAAATCCTAATTTCTTATATAAAAGTTAACTGTTTTATAAATTATAAAAGAACATGTTTCTTTTTTTAATATTAAGAGCGTTACTAGTCCATTCAAACCATCGTAAAATATGGCCTGACATGCGTCTTTTTTTTCAATTAATAGGGGCTTATTTGCTTCACCTGAAAATTTTGTTTGCAAATTAACATGCAAAAATACATTTTTTTCAGTTGGCCCTTGTACCTATATTACACATTTACCGAATATGAGTTTTGGTTTAGTGTGTTTTATATGTGGTAAATAGGTTACTTGGGTATTTCTCTTGTATTTTTTGGTATCTTTTAAGATTATAAATGCATTAAAAATAGGAAAAGAAAACTATCTTCAAAATTTAAATAATTAATCGAAAGATGTAAATTTCTCTGATAAAAACTCTTTTTTAGATGCAAAATACATTTAAAAATAAAAAAACTCAATAAAAACATAAAATAAATATCCAGTATAAGAAAGCGAAAAATTATAAAGTTAGATAATTCTGGTCCCAGAGCCAGACTAGGTTAAGTCCGAAAAGATGATTTTGAGCTAGAGAACTTTTAAGTTTTCAATAATGTAAATTTGACTATTGCGCTAACAATATTTAACATATATTTTTTTAACTTTCACATACGTTTGTCTTTTTTAACCAAAAACATAATAAAAGTAGGCTAAAAATTATGTAACTTATCATATTAACCTAAGAAGAGCAAAATTTGGACTTGACCTAGTCTAGCTCTGAGGTACAGAATTAGATTTTAATTTTATACCAATTTGTGTTTAATAATATTTAAAAATTAAATAACGATTTTGTGTAAAATAACTGTTTTTAATTTTTTATTTTAATTCTTAAATGGACCAATGTAATAACGATATTAGGTTGTGTAAATTACTGTTTTTCATTTATATTTAAAAGATAAAAATTAAAGATATATTGTTTTTTATTCTTCAAAGTTTAAATAATTTAGCTAAAGAAATAGATTTCTCTGATGAAGCAAAAAAACTATTTTATCTACTCCTGCATTGACGAGCTGTGACCACAGAACATAAGCTGGGACTTTAAGCCGTTTATGGCGTTTTAGTCACAGGCTGAAGTTAGAAACAGTTGGCGTAAGCTAACTTTAGTCCGTGACTAAAAAGCTTGAAAGCCAATAAATTTATTATACATTGGGAAAAATTAAGGTTAAATTCGGGTGACAGTTGCCAGATCAAATTTGTAACAAATTGGCTGTTTTGTGTTCGTCGTAGATAAAGTATAGTATGCAACTTGTTTATAAACTTCTCTATTCGGTCGTTTTTATTAAACACTCGCTTGCAAGATTCGCTCGGACTTAACTAAAATGGAGTTTATAAAACGTTATATATAATATACTATTTTAGATGCAAAATATATTTGAAAATATTAAAAACATAATAATTATAAAACAATTAGAAAATTATTTTATACTAATTTATGTTGGTAATATTATGTAAAAACTAAATAAAGAAGGGAACAATTTAACACGATATTAAGTTATGTAAAATTACTGTTTTTTTATTTGTATTTTAAAAGGTGATGTTTTTTTATTAAGTATACTTGAATAATTTTCAGTATAAAACAACGAAACTTTAAAATTATAAGGCAAATTCCTATATACCAACCGTAAGTTTTGTCACGTAGTGACGTCAGGCGCACGTCTGTCTAAAATTTGTTTTTATCATGGCCTATAATCCTCGTCAAAATATATTTATTTATTTTATGTTTACGATCGTTTGACTGGATTTTTTTTCAGTTGAATTGTCGTTTGGTCGGAAACCATAAATATATCATCTTTATCCTCTTTATCTTCCAGGACAGCAAAATCTAGTAGCAGACGCATTTTCACGACTTAGTCCCATTACAATGCCAATCCAAGTCACTACAGAAGAAATCTCTGAAGCACAAAAAGACGACACTGAACTTCAAGATTTATTGCAATCAGACACCTCACTAAAACTCAAAGAGTTTGTTTTAGACAACTCTGAGGCAATACTCTACTGTGACATCCCAACAAAACATCAGACCTTACGTTCCACAACCACTATGACGAAAAATCTTCGACATGGTTCACAATTTGTCTCATCCAAGTGGAAGAGCAACCAACAAACAAATAAAAAAAAATTGTTTGGCCCAGTATGAACAAAGATGTCATAACATGGACTAGAAACTGTTTACCATGTCTAAGATTGTAAACAGACACGTAAGAAATGAACCACAAAAAATCACAGTCCCAGAACAAAGATTTGCTAGATTTGGTAGGGCCATTTCCACCTTCAGAAGGACACAAATATCTACTCACCATGATAGATCGTTTCTCTAGATGGCCAGAAGCAATTCCTCTAACTAACATAACAGCAGAAACAGTTGCAGCCCAATTTTACAGCAACTGGATATCAAGATTTGGAGCACCACACACAATTACAACCAAGTCAGACAATTTGAAGCTTCATTGTTTAAAGCTTTAACAAATTTGGTTGAATGCAAACACACTTGAACAACAGCATATCATCCAGCTTCAAATGGTATGATCGAGAGGTGGCACAGATCTCTTAAAGCTGCACTAATGTGTCATCAAAATGAGAAATGGACGCAAATACTTCCCACAGTTTTAGTAGGCCTTAGAACATGCTACAAGGAAGATTTTAAATGTTCAGTAGCAGAACTTCTTTAAGGTACAAACATAAGAGTTCCAGGAGAATTATTTTCCAGTGAAGATATGCCCAATGACTCTCATGTGTTCATTGAAACCTTTAGAGAACACATGAGCCCAGCAGCCCATCATTCCAAAAAAAGTATTCTGTCTTTAAAGACCTGTACACATGCACACACGTTTTTTTCAGAAAAGATGCTGTCAAAAAGCTTTTACAACAACCATACACAGGACCTTACCAAGTTCTCAACCGAATTTCAGAACGTGTATTCACACTAAACGTTAATGGTAGAGAAACCAATATCTCAACAGAAAGATTAAAGCCAGCCTACTATGAGAAAAAACCTCGAAGAAGTTCCTGACAAGCCGCTAAGAACATACCCAGGTCCCAAGGCGAAAAAGGTACCTACATTTTTCCCAGTGACTCCGTCACTGGGGGTGGAATAATGTAGTAACATACTTTGCAGGTGTATGTATCTTGCATACTTTGCGACACAAGCTGGCAACGCTGCAAGAGCAGGATTACCACCATAAAAAATATAATACCTAGATTACTGTCAAATGTCATACTTTTGTAAATCACCTATTTTTCTGAATATATTTTTCGTTAAAACGTTTCTGTCTGTTTTTTAAAAATAAAGTTCGATAATACAAATACTCGTACAATTAAAAGAACCGAACAGAATAAGCACTGGTGGCGCCATCTCTGTGTATATTATCTAACAACTTTTAGACCGATCCAACCTCACTTTCTCCCAATTAAATTATTTTTCTATGGTATTTTTAAAAAACGTAGAAAAAGCATAGTCTGGAATTGCACATTTCAAACTTGTTACAGAATATACTATTTTTACTCCTATTACGGAATACGACCGTTCTAATATCACTTTTGAATGTGGAATTTTATATATTCCTTAAAGTGTTACTGAATGAATAATTCTATCACCGAATGACGAAATAAACACTGGTGGCGACATCTTTGTGTTTATTATCCAAAAACTTTTAGACTGATCCCAATTAAAATATTTTTCTGTTTTTTTTGTGGAAACGTAGAAAAAGTTTAGTCTGAAACATATTTGGAATTGTGTAACAAACTTTTCACTCAAGCAGAATATGCTTATTCCAAAGTTGTTACAAAATATACTATTATCGACGCTCTTATACGTTTATCACAGCTCCAACATATTATTATGTCATTGAAAACTTTTATTTAGAATATGTTCAAAAGTCATTTTGCAAGTTGTTATTAAATTAAATAAACATGACAAAATATGAATTAACGAAAATCTTTTTTTCTAAATAACTAATACTAATTAGGGGTGTCAATCCCGAGCCCTTTTTCCAATCCCGGGACTTTCGGGACCAAACGTACCTAATCCCGGGATCAGTCCCGAAAAATATATATCAGTAATTTTAAAACCAATTTTAAATAAAGGAACAAATAAAGTAACAAACGATATCTTTCGGACTTCACACTATTTGAAGGAATGGTTTTCAAGAGTTCGTTGGGGCTGTAACTTACATTGGAATTATAGAGTTTGTGACATTTTTTCAGGTTTGACGTTTAAAATATGTTATCTTATAGGTTATATATTTAAAATTACAGGTCACTGTAGAATAAATTCATGTTATTCTACAGTGACCTGTAATTTTACATTTTCTTTGCTGATTTTATGCTAAACCCGATAGATGGAACCACTCTTGCTATGTAATTTCAATGTATTTTTATTATTGTATGGTGGTGTATTTTGACTTTTGAACTGCGTATGAAGTATTTCTATATATGCTTGTGAGTATTATAATATGAAAATTGTCATACGCTTAAAATAAAAGTATATTTTATTCTTTGTAACTTATTACTTAGATCCCGGGATTGGGACTTTTGATCCCGGAATTTTCGGGAACGGATTTTTGACCCCGGGATTTCGGGATCCCGGGATTGACACCCATAATACTAATATAACCATGGCCGCGATTTTCCTGTGCAAATGCTCACCGACGCACCTTCATAGGTACCTAGGTATTTTATACTCCTTGGTTGATAATTTGTACAATGATCATGAATCATGATTATTGTACAAGTTTTAAATTAGTTCAATTATCATTCATGGCGATTGAAACAATTTAGGTTCAGAGGTCCGTCGGTAAGTTTTAAGCATATAAAAACATGCAAAAAATTTACATTAATAAAAACTTACAAATTTCCCTCTACCCTTTATCACTCTGCCACTTTTGGTTGTTAGAGGTCTGCCTCTTCTGTTATTGTAACCTCTATTATTCCACTCCTCTCTTCTACCTCTTTGTTCATAGGATCTACCATCTTAAAAAATACATGCAAATGTATTAAAATGTATACAAGAAGTTTTAAAATAAATACCTTTTCTTTTGGGATTTTTATTATCTTCGTCTTTGCTTGCTCCACGTCTAAGTAAAAATCTATTGGTAGGTACATTTGGTATATCTTCTGGTTTTATGTCAGTTAAAGTAACCAGTGGGTGAAGGTCTTTAACTTCACCTTCTTCCTCAGAATCTTCTTCAACTTTTCTGTAAAAGACGTTTTTTTTATAAGCAAATGTATGTATAGAATTGTTTTATTTTCTTACTCTTTAGTCTTGCTTTTCTTTTCTTTCTTTTTATCTTTTTTTGACTTTTTCTTATGTTTTTTTTCATTATCATCATCAGATGCAGATTTTTCACTTTCTTTTTCTTTTTTCTTATTCTTTTTAACTACAAAAATAAACCTTAAGAACTAAAGATTATCTATTTTTTAATTAATACCTTTAACTTGCTTAACAAGTTCTCCACACTTTGTTATCTTGGCATCTTGCAGTGGTCTGCTATTGGAATCCACAGGCAAATTTTCCACTTGTCGAACAACATCAACACCACCAACTACTCTTCCAAATACCACATGAACACTAAAATAAAAAAAATATTTTTAATAATCACAATATTCACAACCAAAGTTTGGCATAACTGTCAAAGTAAAGGTTAAGTATGCTTACTTGTCGAGATGAGGGGCCGGTTGTGTTGTACTATAAAACATAAAATGACAAGATATGATCAGCGAAGAACCAGGATAGATGGATCAGATGCACCGCTACAGAACAACTTTACTGTTCTGTAACATTTGTTTAATCAAAAATTGACACTTTAGTCATTGAAAATGTTATTTTAAATTGGTTTGGTATTTATTAAATTTTATCTAAAATAATTTTTATTTTAAATAAGATTTAATAGATTACACTTATATCTAAATACCTACTATGCTGAAATAAATTATAATTAAGTAAATCTAATTTATTGATTTTTAATTTATTATAACTCACATAAAAAACTGAGAACCATTTGTGTCCTTGCCCCTGTTTGCCATTGAGAGCAATAAGGGTTTATCATGTAAATATTGGAAATTTTCATCTAAAAAAGTTTTAAATAATTTATTTAATTAATATTTTTTATATGTATACCTTCAAATGTTCCACCATAAATACTTTCTCCACCGGTTCCATTTCCATTAGAAAAGTCACCACCTTGTATAATAAAGTCCTTAACAACCCTATGAAAAATTACCCCCTAAAAATCAACAATTAAAATATACTAAATAAACTGATTAAATCTACAGTCCCTGTATAACTTATACTAAGGAAGATTGACAAGTATAAAATCAACGCTCCTACGGTCGAGACGAGATAGTTTCTCCTCTCTGAACTATAATCAATATCCAGTGCATAGTCAGTGCATTTAAAACCTAATATCTAAGTTAAAAGTGCGAAGTGAACTGCCACCCCACCGTCATTTACTGCTATTTTAGAAGATTTTCGAGTAGAACGACAATTTGTGAAGAACATATTCAACTTACAGACTTGAAGATAATTTCATCCCGTATAAAGATTTTAGAACCAAAATTCGAAAAAAATAGTCTTACTGCACGAGCGGAAGGAGAAAATAATAAAAAATTGTTTTTAATCGTTTTTAAAGGGAAATATTTAAAAATTGAATAGCAACGGCATTGTAATAGCTCAACATTTTTGTTTTCTGACCGGTTACAAAAAATGTCGCCCTAATATACATATACATTGGGGTGCTTCAAAAAATAAAATTTAATTTTTTTTCCGCTCTTACCCTCTCAAATGTTTCTATTTAATATAAAAAAAATTCTAAGCAAATATGGGCGTTCCAGCTCAACTCTAAGAGAGCTTTTTTGTAGAGCGTTACATTTCATATAAGAAACTGCAATGATCATTGCCATAAGTTACTTTGATACAGAGGTATAAAATTCCAAACATAAAATTATTTTTTTCCATGTTAATTAAATGGGAAACTAAAATAAAAACAGCGACCTCTTAGAGTTGAGCTAGAACGCCCATATTTTGTGAGATTTTTTTTTAAATTAAATAGAAACATTTGAGAGGGTAAGAGCGAAAAAAAAATTAAATTTTATTTTTTGAAGCACCCTAATATACATATGGGTAATTCTTTTACAAACCGTACGGATTTTGATAAAAATTGACCGACACATCTCCGATTTGGCTGAAACTTTTTTTACGGATTCTATATCGAAAAATAAGAGACACGTGTCCGAGGATTTTTTTTTCTTTCGCATATTTTCGATAATACAAGTGATCAAAAATTTGAGAAAAACAAGGTTTTTGGCTTGGAGACCCATTTTCAAAAATGTATAACTCCGGTTCTATTTGAGCTACAAACATCTTTTTTTTTTCATTTTAAAGCTAAAGAACTGAATTTTGATAACAACATATTTTTAATAAATATTATTAACAAATTCATATTGTTATTAACAATTTCATTGTTTAAATCAACATAAAAAACGGTTTTTTGTTAATAAAAAGAAAACTATAGCTCGGATCAAAAAAAGTTAAATATAAAAGTTGTAGATAATAAATAGATCTACAATTTTTGTTTTAACTATTTTTCGACATAACCTCACTTTTCAAATAAATTGAAAAAAATGTTAAAAATCACCTCTTTTAAATTTATTAGCAATCAATACCATGAAAAAAAAACATAAATTAATTATAAATTATAGAAATTTTTTTTAAAAGAGGTGATTTTTAACATTTTTTTAAATTTATTTGAAAAGTGAGGTTATGTAGAAAAATAGTTAAAATAAATATTGTAGATCTTTTTATTATTTACAACTTTTATATTTGACTTTTTTTGATCCAAGCTATTGTTTTCTTTTTATTAACAAAAAACCGTTTTTTTATGTGTCGCGCAATATGAATTAATGTTTTAACAATAGTAATAATAAAGGTACCATATTTTGAAAACATGTTTTTTATGTAAAATTTGACGGAGAATACGATAAAAATACATAAAACTTAATACGAGGTGGGGGCCATTGTTAAAAATTGATTTAAACAATGAAATTGTTAATAACAATATGAATTTGTTAATAATATTTATTAAACATATTTTTTTATCAAAATTCAGTTCTTTAGCTTTAAAATGAAAAAAAAAAGAAGTTTGTATCTCAAATAGAACCAGAGTTATAATTTTTTGAAAATGAGTCTCCAAGCCAAAAAACTCGTTATTCTCAAATTTTCGATAGCTTGTATTATCGAAAATATGCGAGAGAAAAAAAATTCCTCGGACAAGTATATCTTATTTTTCGACATAGAATTCGTAAAAAAAGTTTCAGCCAAATCTGAGATGTGTCGGTCAAAAGGTGTTCGGTTTGTAAAAGAATTACCCATATAGGGAATTCCACGTGAATTCGACAAGAAAAAAAACCCTTGCCATTTCGAAATTCCTCGGCAAATTTCTATGGGTTCCCTGACTCAAAATAGAAATTTAATTTTAATTTTAGCACGGTTTATCAATTGTTTTTGGAGATATGATTTTTAAAATTTTCATGATTATAACGATTTTGCCAATATATCATAATGGAATGGATCATAACTTTGGTTCCAATTGAGCGATTCCGACGAACGACCAATTATTTTTCTTGTCTTAAAACAAGGTATTTGAAATAAATATTTTTGATGCTGTGGCACACTATGATTTTTTTCTTCGAAAATTAAAAATCACTGTTTGTATTTTTTTTGAAGAAACAAATATGCCAATATGCCACAGCATCAAAAAAATTTATTTCAAATAGCTTATTTCAAGACCAGAAAAATGAATGGTCATTGGTCGGAATCGCCCAATTGGAACCAAATGATCGATAATATATTGGTAAAATCGTTATAATCATAAAAATTTTAAAAATTATATCTCCAAAAACAATTGATAAACCGTGCTAAAATTAAAATTGAATTTATATTTTGAGTCAGGAAATAAATGGAAAAATTGCCGAGGAATTTCGAAATGGCAAGGGTTCTTTTCGTATCGAATTCACGAAAATTCCCCATATATGTATACTTTTAAAATTTTTTCAATTCCTACAAAAGTTTGGTTGATCTTTTGCAAAACTTGGTTGCGCTCCTAACATTTTTTCATTAGTGGAGTTTCTCCTTAACCTTTGGAGTGCATACTTATTTTCTGGTACAATTCCGTTTTTTTGGGTCTTAACCCCAAAACATAAAAGGAAAAACTATTACAAATTTTGTTATTTGCAAACATAATATATTATATTTGTGAAATTTACATTCTATTGAAGTATAGGTACAAGATTCGTTACAAGTCAGACACATAATAACAGAGTGATCATTGCAGACATATTATAATATATTTGTGAATTTTACATTCTATTGAACCAGAGGTACATGATTCGTTACAAGTCAGACATAGAGACCCTTTATGAAGGGTCTCTAGTCAGACATATAATAAAAGAGTGATCTTTGTAGCCATGTTTTTATAGGAGTTTTAAGCACACTGATTAGACATGTTTACATCATGGACAAGTATTGCATTGCTTACTTGTTATTTTAGGTACTATAAATAATAATAATAATTATTATTATTATTATTATTATTACTATAAATGTGCCAGAACATACTACAAAATTTACTATATTGAACTAAAAGAACTTTGCATGGTTTACTTTAACAGTGCTAGTTAAGTAGGGCCTTAAATAAAACAAATACAGTGTGTATTAAAACGAATAGAACCAATTTTAATAAAACGAGTGCCAAACTTATATAATCCCCGCCCACTGCGGCGGTTGATGAATCGTCGTTTGATTAGTTTGTCAGTCTGAGACATGGCCGTTCAACTTGAATTATCCCATCAAAACCTTAAAGTAGGCAACCAATATCAAATACATTTAATGAATTTAAATTAAATAAATTCTATTTTTTATTCAATACATTGTGGATACATATATATAGAGATGTGACTTGAAAAAAAAACGATCCGTTTTTTTTCAGGTTTTTTAACTGTTTTTTTTTTTCAAATTTTCTTTCATATTTTATGTTTTTTTAAAGAATAGTTTCATTTGCCAAATTTTTTATGTTTTTAGTCCAGTTCATAGACTAAAATTCATACGCGTCATCTCCACCGAATTGACCAATAAGGGCCGCGCTCTACCTGCGGCGATCAGGCGTCAGGGTTTGTTTTGATTTGGTCTTAAAAAAAACTAACTATCTATAATACACTTCAAGAAGTTTTTTTACATTGTTATTGGTTTCTTATGTGTAAACTACCAAATAATAAGAAATCAAATTTTTTAGTATCAGTCAAAGTGTTCAATCATAGTAAATGTAATATATTCTTTGAGGAGTATACTGCAAAAGCGGCCTAACTAAAAAAAATAATGGTTTTTTATCTTCAAATATTCCTATTATGCGCTTATCGAGTGAACTATCATAATGTATTTTAATATAGTAGTAACCAAAGATAATATCTTTGGTAGTAACTACTCTTCTTATTAAAACACACTTTAGTTCACTCAATAATAGGAATATTTATAGATAAAACCACAATCCTTAAGGTCTGTTCGATCTTGTACAAAAAATACTAAAAATCACTGCAACATTGCAAATCATTTAATGGCGGCCATTTTTGTTGTTTACAATTTTTGTGCTTTGGGTTTGTACAGATTAATTATTATTTTAAACGTTGTGTTTCTAATAGAGGCACTTGTAAGCCTCAAATGAGGCCTTAAAGTGGTAAGAACAATCATTTTACTCCTCTTTTGTAAAAAAATAAACCTTATTCTATCAAGGCTGTCATCAAACTGCCAAATGTCAATTTTAAGGTTATTTTATAACACACAAATTAAACTTCAAATTGACATTTCACAGCCCTGATAGAATAAGGTTACCACTTTGAGGTCTCTTTTAAGGCTTGCAAGTTGTTCTGTAAGAAACACAACGTTTAAAACGATTATTAATCTGTACAAACCCAAAGCACAAGAATTGTAAACAACAAAAATGGCCGCCATTAAATGATGTGCAGTGTTGCAGTGATTTTTAGTATTTTTAGTACCTACGAGACTGAACAGACCTTGTTGTGTGGATTGTGGATAAAACCACAAAATGATTTTTTTAGTTAATTTTTAGTTTTGCAGTATACGCCTCATTTCATTTTATTATTAATATACATTTTGCTCAAAATTTTATATTGAAAGGGCCACGGATAGCGCTGTGGGTGTATCTCTGTGACAGAACGGTAAGGTCGCTCCTGCCGAGAATGTTTGGGCGTTAGCGCACCTAGCGAAGCGGCAACGCTGTCAACGTAGACTTTTGCGCCATTATTTGGAAAGTTAATTATTTCCGAATACGCACTGCTGGATCCAGCTGGATTGCTGGATGAGGGATCCAGCAATTGCAATCCCTAATGTTAATGCTCCAATATTCCGTTTAGTAAACAAAGACGCATGCAATATCAAATGTACGAACAAGCGAGATAAACAATCATCGTTAAATCGATTGGTTAACGAACTTGATTCCCCTTCGTCATTGTCCGCCAATGTTTTACTTCCCCTAGGGGTCCTCTCTGTGTCATCCTTGACAAACTTTTACTACAAGGCTTGTAGATTTTCTGATTTCAATTTAGTTTCATTACGACTACGTATGGGTGTAGTCAGTTGTTATAAAATTCTTTTAAAATTTTATTATGATTTTGTTCACATAAACAAAATATCTTGTGAATATTTGTTTAGAAATGTAGAAAATATACGATAATATTATTTTAATAAAAAAACGTATACCTAATCTCAAATAAAAATGGTATTCTAAAAAACGGTTTGATGCTTGCACTAATAGTGTACCGTATTTCGCACTGTTCATTCACGGGCCTACCACTGCCAAATGTAACAAAATTATGTGCATTTTGAATTGGTGCTCTTGCTAGCAAGGGCCTATTTAGAAAATTGGGAAATGATTATTGAATATGACATCCCACTTGTATGTCACATTAGAAATTGATTTTTTCTTTTAGAGTTTAGACCATTTATTTGAGAATATCTATAATTTTACCGCAAAAAACACCACTTCATAGTTTTAACCAGGGACCCGGACCGGACCGTTTTTGGACAGAAAACCGGACCGGAACCGGTTTTTATTTGTGGACCGGAACCGTAACCGAATCCATATTATTTTTAATTGTAACCCTAGAGACCGCGCCCGAACCCTTCAAATTTAAAACGGGTTTTAGCTTACTTTCAGTTTTTTTCTTAATTCCTTTTTGCAAAAATTAAAAAACATATATTTTGTTTTGTTAAAAGAATCTATAAAATTAGTTTATTTATTTTGCGTTCATAATGACTTCATTATAACACTTCTTTCGGTGCTGTCATGAGATACTTTATCCCACCCTAAATTTTAATTTTATATGTTGGCTATACAACAGCATAATATTTTGCATATTGGTTATATTATTTTTAAGATTTTTCTAGTACCTACTTACGAGACTTTTCTGACAATAAATTTTGTTTAACACCAAAAGAAAATCCTTTTTTTTTCTTTAACATTAACAACCGCTTATTGAAAATATTAACCTCTATTGCTCAACCTTGAGGAATACTTTGCACATACAAAGAAAGATCACCTAGAAAGCTTATTGCAGAGTGCTTATTCGTATACGGTGCGTTAACCACTTAGGGAACGGAGATGCAGGTCTCGCTTCCGTATCCTACACGATTAGCGCACTCGGTTGCGCTAGCCCTATAGGAGACGGAAAAATGCGTTCGGGTCCCTGGTTTTAAGTTAAAACCAGGGACCCGAACGCATTTTTCCGTCTCCAGGGACCCGGACCGAAACCGAAAAAAACCGAAAACCGGAACGGAACCGGTTTTTTTTTTCGAACCGAAACCCGAACCGGAACCGTTTTCGCTTTTGATAAAATCTGTTGGACCGGAACCGAAACCTTTATTTGCTTTCATTCTAATAACATTATATAACATATTAGGTTATAGATTAAAATTACGTAAAACAAATAACCTCACTGGAACCGCTTAAAACCGAAAAGGACCGAACCGTTATAACTCCACGAAACCGAAACCGGAATCATTAAAACGAAAATAGGGTGAACCAAAACCGTACCGGAACCGATATTTCATTTCGGTCCGGGTCCCTGGTTTTAACACATTCCCTGGTCCAAAGTCCAAAGCCAAAGGCAGACTGCCCCACCACTCTGATTACAAAATCTCCACTTCTCTTGTCTTATATTACATCTTTATTGCTAGCATCTTTGTTTAATAAACAGACTATTGGTGAATATAACCATTAGGGTGTTTCAAAAAAACTTTTTTTTTTTGTTTTTTTCTCGGAACCACGCTCAAAAGTTTTGTAAGATATAAAAATGAGCCTGTGAAAAAATGAGCTCTTAATTTCAAAATTAAGATGCTCCGCATCGCACTTTTCGATTTTCCATAAGAATAATATAGGAAAAATTATTTTTGTTTCTTTTTATTTTTGTAACTAACGAACAATAAGTCGTACTATAAAGTTCTTGACATATTTTTGTAGAGAATTGAACGCTCTACAAAAAAGGTTTTTTATGATTTTTTGATAAATTTGATGCTTCTAAACAAATTTAAGGTCAATGTTCAAATTATACGAAATTTTTTTAACTACCCGAGTCATTTAAAAAAATTTAAAATATTTTTGTAGAGAATTGAACGCTCTACAAAAAAGGTCTAGAGTCATTTTTCGGTAAGTAAAACTTGGTTAAAAGTTATTCAAGGTTAAAGTGAAATTAACCGTCAATCTAGTCGTATTCTCGGATTTTGTCTGGATTTTTTTGGTTCCAAGTGCTAAAAACGAATCGAAATATTGTTTTTGAGCTCTGTAAGTTCGGAAAAACAGCGTTCAATTCTCTACAAAAATATTTCAAAATTTTTTAAATGAGTCGGGCAGACTCGCCAAATAAGTTAAAAAAAACCCAAAAATTTTGTATAATTTGAACTTTGACCTTAAATTTCTTTAGAAGGATCAAATTTATCAAAAAATCATAAAAAACCTTTTTTGTAGAGCGTTCAATTCTCTACAAAAATATGTCAAGAACTTTAAAGTACGACCTATTGTTCTTTAGTTACAAAAATAAAAAGAAACAAAAATAATTTTTCCTGTTATTCTTATGGAAAATCGAAAAGTGCGATGCGGAACATCTTAATTTTGAAATTAAGAGCTCATTTTTTCACAGGCTTATTTTTATATCTATACGAAACTTTTGAGCGTGGTTCCAAAAAAACAACAAAAAAAAGTTTTTTTTGAAACACCCTAATAACCATTGTATATTATTTTAAACTTTAATGTTTTAGTGGAAACTTGTTGCAAACTTTAATGGTAAATAAACTGAAATACATGTTTCATAAAAGCAGGTAGATACAAAATGTTTAGTATCAATTTGGTTAAGTGAAATTATTAGTTCTTTATGATTACCTATTTTAACTTATACAAGTAATATAAACCAATAATTGCACGTATTTTTTCTCATTATGACCAATAAGAATGTCACCATATATTTATGTGACATGATCCAAGAATACAAACCTTAAAGGTGTGTACTAACTTAAAAATATTTATGTCCAAAAAATAATTTTTGAGAATAAGATTGCTTTAAGTAAATTGGTACACAATCTTTCAAAAAATCCAATATTTATTTATTTATTGCTGACAGTAAATAATGATTTTTTTATCAAAAAATTGGCAATACTATGAATTTTTAAACTCAAGTGTTACTACTATACAAACACCTATGTAGTGCAAACTTTAATCGCTTCTCCTGTAAAACTTTACTTTTTGTAAACATCAAGGGGTAAACCACTTTAAAATCTTAGAGACCAATGTTCAATGTTAGTGGACGTTGTGTTGAGATTTTTTTCCTTATCAGTCGTTATCCATAAGGAAAACTTGCTTAATCAGTGCTTAGCGACGCGTTGCGCATGACTACCCTTGTTATTGTTATCCTTAGCTGTTAATTCGTAAGCGATTTTTAATTTAAAAAAATCAGTGATTTACCCCTTGGTAAACATTTTTTAAGTCCAAATACAAATATAAACTCGTGATTGTCCATATTTCTTTGCACATTAAACAAAAATATGAGAAAAATACCTATACAGGGACTCGACTCAACTCAACTAACACAATTTAAAACTTAATACTTGCTTTATAATGTAAAGGTTTTTTGGTGGTTTCTCCAAACCCTTTTTCCCCAGTGCAGAGACTTCTAAAATTCTCGCAAGTCTTAGGGACTATGTCGTTAAATAATTCAAAAACGATTCGTCCAGAGTGTAAACTTCCCACAGACACGTCAAAGAAACATCTTATCCTCTCTGAGGATGGTTCATCCATCTAAAATGTATGCATTAAAACCTAATAAAACATTATAATTACACTACCTTAAAAGTTTGTTAAATAAAGCACAAACCAAACATTAATAATAAAGTTAAAGAAACGTTTTCAGGAAACCGTCAAAATGGCGATAAAACATTTGATTTTGTCACGTTGGCAACCAGGTTTAGGTTGGTAATATTCCATAGGTATTATATTTTTCTAAGATTTAATTTTCAATTTTTAAAGCTTGGAAACATAAAATCAAAATATGTAAAGAGGTAATTGGAGATAAAAAAAATTTCAGTTTTTTAATTCAATCATTGGTTGGTATTTTACTTGTATGAAATATGGTTTTTAAATTTGGCGCTCAAACATAGTTCTGGCGCCTTAATCATCACGTGATCTTTAGTTGTGGAAGAAATGGCGGACGATAAAGATGTGGACGAAAAAACGATTGCCGAAGACATCGTTGTCACCAAGTATAAAATGGCAGGGGAGATTGTTAATAGTGAGTTTCAAAGCCCTGATTTATGCTCTTTTTAGATATGTAAAAATATTTTATGCCACTTTTTTTTAATTGGTTTATTCGCTTGAAAAGTCGCAGGCCATATGGAGCGTGTCTCCCGGCACCAAACCATGTGGTTTTAAAAATTATTTATTCGGTTTATTGTTATATTTTCGTTTAATCGGCTAAAAGAGTAATTCAATTTTTAGGTGTTAATAATTCTACATCTTTTTTAACTTGTTGACTTCCCAGATAAATTGAATTTGCCTTAATGTGTTTTGTAAACCATTTTGGTGCACAGCAGTATTTTTCGTTGATTAATAATTAACGAAAAATACCATAATGTTTCGCAATTATTGTAAACCATTTTGGTGCAAGCATCACTAGGCCAAAATTTCAAAAAGCATGTTATTTTTGGTAACAATTTTAGTAAAATTTATATGTTATAATATTGACCCACAGATTATATTTCTTCATAAGAAATACCATATAGGTACTGGGTTAATAAGTAGGTACCTATAATTTAAATTCTACAAAAATTTTACTAAAAATATGTTGAATATGGAAAATAACTTTTAATATGTTACTGTGCACCATGTTGGTGGATGTTAAAGCATTGTTTTGAAAAAAAAATAAAAGCAATGGTTGCAGTCAACCTGTTAAGCTTTATTATTGCAAGGAATTTAAATCTTGTCTGTATTTAAGGGGTATTAAAGCAAGTTATCGATAAGTGTGTGGCAGGAGCTTCAGTTAGAGAACTCTGTGAATATGGAGACCAACTTTTGACTGATGAAACTAGCAAGGTATTCAAGAAAGAAAAGGAACTTAAAAAGGGCATTGCATTTCCAACATGTGTTTCTGTAAACAATTGTATTTGCCATTATTCACCTGTCCCCAGTGAACCCGACTACTTTCTTAAGAAAGAGGATGTGGTTAAAGTGTAAGTACTGAAAAGCTGTATTCAACTTTTAATAAAAGTTTATATTCTTGTTAAAGAAATTAGGGATTCTTTATCTTTAAATTAAAATAATTTTTCAAAAATTTTATTCATACAACAAATTTTTACAAAATTCCAATGATGTTTTAAACATTAAAAGTTTAGTTTATTATAACTAAGTTGTGGTTGATTTAAAGTTTAAAAAAAGATTAAATATACTTTTTTTCAAGATGCGACACTTCTATCGAAACCTTTGAAGTTGGCACAGGCAAATATTTGACCTTGCATGCCCCTTTTATGTTTCTAACACTGGCAACATGTCATATCATCAAGCGAATATGTATGCATTTGCATAGAGCATTTACAATGGCTGCTTTTCCATGAGTAATGGGAGCACGTTGGGGATGTCTTAGGTTAAACTCTGCAGCAACTTCTCTGCTACTACGAGCATGATCACCAAACAACCGGATTATTTCGATTTTTTCTCTTATAAAGTCAATGTCATTTTAATTATGTGATTCACAGATTATAAATGCACTGATTACAAATTAACGCAATAAACTCAAAGTTTAATCTGAAATTTAATACTTTAATTAGTGTCAAATTATTACTTTCCTTTACAGATTATACAACTTTTCTTATTATCAAACTAAAAAATGAACTTGTAATAATTTTGTGTAAACCAAAGTAATTAAAAATTAAAAATGCGTATTTTGTTATGAAAATTGGTATACGGGGTTAGAATAATATTCTAAACAACTTTTTCCAATGATTTTTTTCGATATCTCTAACGCGAAGCTAAATATCGACAACTGGCCCTGTTTGTGAATTTGTAGTAGGCTGAGTTTAAAGTTCAGATTTCAGTTGAGTATCTTAAAAAAGGTGACCCATCAATATGTATAACTGTGCAAAAATTCAAATCTGTATTCCCTCAAATGGCGAAAATATGGGGGTGTCTTCATCTTAAGTACGACACACTGTATGTAAGGATTCTAAATTGTTTTGCCCTATTTACAATACTTGTTTTGGTCTTGCTTGTATGTTTGAAGCTTAGCTTGGTATCTATTGTAATTCCCAGGTAACGACATGATGTTGATAACTACTGTACTTTGCATGATGTTGATAGTGGGTGAATTTGCTTTAATTTTGTGGTGAAACAGTAAAAGGTGCGATTTTGATGGGCTAGGCAGAATTCTCCACTTGGACATCCATGCTGATACCTAGTCAGTTAGTTCCTGTAGTTTTACACTTGCTTCTGTTGTCGTTTTGCCATGGGTTATTAAAACTGTATCATCAGCAAATTGTAGAATATAGCTTTGGCCGTTTATATACAGGGGATTGGGGTTGTACATGTCATAACAATATAAGTTATATAAAATTGGTAACAACAGTGATCCTTGTGGTACTCCTTGTTGTGGTGTGTGGTGTGTTGTAATGTTCTTTGTGTGAGAGATTCCTTTATCAAACATACCACATATTCCGGACATTCCAATGTTACCAGTTTTTTCAGCAACCCATGGTGCCATACAGAATCAAAGGCTTTACATATATCCATAAAAAGTGCTGCCGATTTATTCCCTTCTTTGCTTTTAGATTGTACATTTGATGTTAGTATAATTAGTGGGTGTATTGTTGAGGTTTGCTTTTTAAATCCGAATTGGTATAAAGGGATTTTGTGTCCAATGGTCTGTTGTAAGCGATTTTTAATTATTTTTTCGAAGGTTTTTCCAATTACTGGCAATAAAGTGATGGGCCGGTAGTTTGCAGGGTTAGCGTGATCCACGTTAGTTTTGGGGATGGTAATAATTAACCCTGTTATCAATTGATAAAATTATGGCATTTAAACCCTGCTTTTGTCACTTCCTGTTTCTGAGAAAAAATGAGTAACAATATATTTGATAACTTTAAACTATAGTAGTACATTTTCTTTTAAACCATAAACCTATTTAACCTGGTTATTGAACTTTTACATGTTTATTATGATGATTAAAAATTTCCAATTGATCCTACAGAAACAAATGATCAGAAAAATAATTTCCTGAAAAATAAAATAGAAATATTTAATATCCCAAATGTATTCAACATACCTACATAAGTATCTGTTTCTTATATTTAGTGATCTTGGAGCCCACATAGATGGTTTCATTGCCGTTGTAGCCCATACAATTGTAATGGGAGCAGAAGCAGGAAAAAAAACTACCGGCAGGAAAGCTGATGTTATTCTAGCTGCTCATTATGCATCCCAAGCTGCCTTGAGGTTATTAAAACCAGGCAATGAAACATACACAATCACTGAATCCATTCAAAAGGTGGCAGAGTCATACAAATGCAAACCTGTAGAAGGTATGTTGAGTCATCAATTGAAGCAATTTAGGATTGATGGAGAGAAGACCATTATTCAAAATCCCAATGATGCTCAAAAGAAAGAGCATGAGAAGTTTGAATTGGATACCCATGAAGTTTATGCCATGGATGTTCTTATTAGTACTGGAGAAGGTAAGAAATAATATATTTATATATATGTTATATATATAGTTACATTAATGTTATACACTCTTTAATCTAAATAGTATGCACTGTTAAAGTAGATCTAAGCAATGTTTTGTTTTATAAAAATATTGCATAAGAGACTGTGCTAGAGCATTACAAGCTAGAGTGAAGGATATTTGTATCAATAAATAATTCTTCTCATTCACTTGAAACACTTTTCTAGAAAAGTTATAAGAAATGTTGAAATTTGAAAAAATATTTTATCTTAAGATCAAATTTTAAAAAATACCCGAGGTACAATACAACATTTTAAAAAATTTAAAATGTTTCCATAACATAATAAAAGAAATACAATATACTAAATACATGCTTGATTGGTTTCTTGTATCTATAACAATAAACCGATTATCCCAAAAATGGTACACTTGAAAACAATATCAAACAAAAATTCGTTAGTCAGCGCCGGCAGGCTACCACCACCTGTTTGGCGTTCTATCCTTGTAATTTTCACGAGGGTATTGAACAACCGTCCTTCCCAACCCGGTCGGACTTGGATTTGCAAGCACTATAATTTTCTATAAGCTTATAGGTCAATTCTGCGCACATCTGTAAGCAAATCTATAACTTTCTATAAGCTGATAGACAATTTGCAATTCTGCGATTCCTGTAGCTTATAGAAAATCATATAACATCGTAAATATTTACGATCCGGTGTTTTGCTAATCGTTGCTAGTTACAGTTTGTTTGTTAGGTTGTGTTAAACTATTTTAAAGATTAAAACATGAATATATTTAATATTAATAATAATGTTAATGTGGTAATATTTATCAATTGGGACAAGCAGCCTGGGCCAACTACATTAGAAATTTTGACTAAATAAAACAATACAAAAACTTTACATTTTTATTTTACAAATGAAATTAAAATAAATAATATTCTTTAAAAAAATTAACCGCAGTCAAAAAAGAAAAAAACAAAATAAATAATTATTCTAATTAGGGCCATTCCACGCTTAACGGATAGGACAGTTGCCGTGTTTTTATTTACAAAATAATATTGTTCTATTATATTACCAATGTCAAATTTTTATAAATATTTCTAAACTAAAGCTGTTTAACAAAGTTTTTATTTGGCAAAATTAGGTATCGTGATTGACTGTTTAATTCCTTAAAAATTAATAATTTAAAGCGTAACGGACGGGACTATTACGAAGTCCCGTCCGTTACGCTTTAAATAATTAGTTTTTAAGGAATTAAACAGTCAACCACGATACCTAATTTTGCCAAATAAAAACCTTGTTAAACAGCTTTGGTTTAGAACTATTTATAAAAATTTGACATTGGTAATGTAATAGAACAATATTATTTTGTAAATAAAAACACGGCAACTGTCCTATCCGTTACGCGTGGAATGGCTCATTAGTCAAAAATTATGAAATATCAAAATTGGATTTAAAAATTTTAATTTCAAATCTTAATTGTTCTTTCAGCTTTATATATTTTCTGAATAGTTTTCAAAAAGCTCAACATTTTTTTTTTAATTTCCTGTTCAAATTTATTAAGGTTTGGCCCAATTATAGTTTCAATTGTTCAGTGGTGTTTTTTGTTCTCTTTCTTTTACTTGCTTTTGCGTTACCACTAAACATTTTATTTTTAAATTTCTTACTTTTTATATTATGTTATATGCTGGTACATAATTTGTGTAACACAAATGATAAACAAAAAATACCTTTAAAAATATAGGTTATGTTTGATTGTAAGTAAATAGGCGTGAAGTTGCAGTAGTTCGTTTATACCGCTTTAAATTCGACATTTATGAGTAACACAGAATTGCCACTTTTACGATTTTATAAGCATTAAGCCTTTCTTCCTCCCGTAGAAGATGAACAATACGAAAATCGTAGTTCCATTTATAGATTTCCGCACGGGAACACAGGTTTTTGTATTGTTCTTCTTCTACGGGAGAAAGGAAGGAAGGCAATCTATAAATCAGGCTTTATGGATACAGAGTATCGTCAGCTATAGATTTACGAATTTACAGAAATTTTACGAGAGAACCCAGAATTGACCTAAATATTAAATATAAGTTAAATATTGCAGTAGTTTTTAATGGAAGCATTGAAAACAAATTAATAAACTGTCGAAAGTTTGTCTTACATTTTTTTTTTGACATATTATAGGTGTGGGTAAAGAAACTGAAACAAGAGTTTCAATCTACAAAAAAACTGAAGAAACCTATCAGTTAAAATTAAAAGCTTCTAGAGCTTTTTACACTGAACTGAGAGCTAAACATGGAACCATGCCCTTTAACTTGAGATCTTTTGAAGATTCTGCCAAGGCCAAGATGGGAGTTGTGGAGTGTGTCAAAAATAAACTTGTCGAGCCTTTTCAAGTTCTGTATGAAAAAACAGGTACGCAAATTTAATTTATATCTTTACGATTTGTACATATATATTTCATGTGATGATTTTTTTAACTCCAATTGATCCCTCTGAAATGAATGATCAGACAAAATTAATTCTGAAAATTATAATAATTTTTTATTTTATTTCAATAATTTATTTTATTATGCAAATATATTAAAGATGTTTAATTTTTAGGTGAATTTGTGGCCCATTTTAAGTTTACAGTGTTGTTGATGCCCAATGGGCCTCATAAAATTACTGGTTTGCCATTAGATGTTGACTTATACCAATCTGAGCATTCTGTGACCGATCCCGATTTAAAATCGATATTGAACAGTTCCGCCAACCCTAAGTCAGCTAAAAAGAAAAAAAAGAAGTCTGAAAGCGCTACTGAACAGCCAATGGAAGTTGAAGCCGCGGCGTAAAGTGTATAATGATTTGTCAAAATTTTTACTAGCTACTCAACACAGATAAATACTAAAATTCCTTAAATTAGCATCTGATAAATTATGTATTATGTAGCTTAATAATTTCAGATTCCACTCGGAATAGAATAGAGTGCTATGCTTATAGTACAATCCTTGTTTTTTCTTTTTTAAATCATATTTTCCTTAATTAATATTTTTAAGTTTTGATTATTATTTGCATTGTTAACTTTACATACTGAGTCTTTTTTACTTATTTTTTTGTTATCCTGATTTTTGTAATTGTAAAATAGTTTTTTAAATAATTAAAAATGTTTATCATGTAACATTGTATCTAAATTTTAGATTGCTGTAAAAAGCAAATGACAAATAAACTATTTGGTATTTTGAATTCATTTTATTTATTTTTTTGATAAATAAACACCATATAAAATAAGTAAATATTATTCCTTTTAAGATTAAAAGTATGCTAACTTTTCTGACCTTAAAAAACAATGCTGATATGTGTGAAATATTTCATTCAGACTAACATTAAAATTTTAATATATATATATATATATATGAGTACATTAGATGCAAAACTCGGTTTTTGCACATTTTAAAAAAATATATATTTTATCTTATTTATGATCATAACTGCACTGCCCACAGCATAACTAAGTAAACCAGATGCATAAGTTAATATTTGTAGAATAAAATACATTTATAAACTTACCGCAGCTGCAAAACTGGGTATTTGTCGGATGCAAAACTCGGTATTTGACCAATCACGTCGCTAGTATACGCATTAACTGACGGCATAACAATCACCTGATTAATTGTTATTTTTTTGGTATTTGCACTTTTCACTTGCAAAACTTGGTCTTTTTAAATCTTTTGATTTCAATTATTTACTAAACTACTTAATTTTAAAGGACTTTTTTTACTTTTTTGAATAAGAAATGATGCAAAAGCACGTCTATACGATTTTTGTATTTTTTTTTTCAAATATGACCTTATGAGCGGTTTTTCGTGTTTTTCTTAAAATCACTTATCCTGCAAATACAGAGTTGTGCATCTAATGTACTCATATATAAAGACAGAAAACTAGTCAAGAAACATTAATTAACCCTTAACTACTCACGCCAATTTTTGTAACATAAGTGGTCGCGCGGTGCACTGAGTGCTCCGCTCATTAAAATGGCTATATTGCTGAATGTTTTCAATTTTAATATTACTTTTGGTATTCCGATAAAAAAACTCTATTTCTATTTAAACATGATATTTATTAAAAATAAAACAAACAAAATAGTTATTACTTCTACTCAGAAAAGAAATCAGAAGGAAATTAAGCCGTTCTTTTTTTATTTGTGTATTATAAAAATGTATACCTTAAAAACCATTATGTTTTAAATTCCATATTTTGTTAATTTAGAAATATTTTACATTACAAAAATTGAAATTTAGTTACGTTTTAGTGAAGTATTTCTAAATCAATCTCAAACTTTCTGTCCATAACTTTGAAATAAATTGTTTAAACTGAATTAACCCTTAACTACTCACGCCAATTTTTGTAACATAAGTGGTCGCGCGGTGCACCGAGTGCTCCGCTCATTAAAATGGTTATATTGCTGAATGTTTTCAATTTTAATATTACTTTTGGTTATATTCCGATAAAAAAAACTCTATTTCTATTTAAACATGATATTTATTAAAAAAAACAAACAAAATAGTTATTACTTCTACTCAGAAAAGAAATCAGAAGGAAATTAAGCCGTTCTTTTTTTATTTGTGTATTATAAAAATGTATACCTTAAAAACCATTATGTTTTAAATTCCATATTTTGTTAATTTAGAAATATTTTACATTACAAAAATTGAAATTTAGTTACGTTTTAGTGAAGTATTTCTAAATCAATCTCAAGCTTTCTGTCCATAACTTTGAAATAAATTGTTTAAACTGAATATGCCGTCGACAATGCATGAAGACACATCAGTCATAGGTCAGTGCATCTGCGCGACTAGTTAAGTGTTAAATATAAATAACTAGTTCTGTAATACAATTTTGTTAGACGTAAGTTTAAAAAGCCGTACTAGGTTAGGTGGCCACTGGAGGGCGCCACTACTCGGATGGTAAAAACGGGAGCTGCCATCCCGACGGAGAAGAAGAAGAGGAGAGCGTTGTTTTGGAGTAGATAAGCTTGGTGTCATTTTTAATTTTAAAATAAATTAAAACAGTTTACCGGTCATATTATTTAAAATACCTGACAACAAATTCAGAAGTGAGATCTGGATCGAGAGTGCAGTGCCTGGAGATAAGTGAATTGGAGAAAATAAGTGGTGATTAACTGTTGTTGTAAAAAGCCGAATTGTGGTTAGGTGTGCCACGTGCTGAAATTCAATTGGAGACAAAAGGAGGACAATTATTACGTTTAATTGGAGACTTAGTTGGAGTAGAGTCGAAACAAAGGTGAGGCGCATTCGTTATATTAATAGTTGGAGAAATTTTAGAGTTTTTATAAAATGAGCGACCACCTGTCGATCAATTTGAAGGATGACGAGGCTATGCTGAGTCAGTCAGAGCAGGGTTCACGCAGGGAGACGGCTGCCGGTCAAAATGAACCAGTTGCTGACAACATGGCTGTGATGCGTGGCTTATTCAAGGAGTTGCTCGAGCAGCAAGGACGGATGTTGCTTGATCAGCAGCGTCGAACAATAAGACAGGAGTCACGTCTAGCTGTGGGAGAATGTATGGAGGAAATCGCTAGTACGCCATCTAGCCATAGGTACGACAAGTCCTCAAGCAACTATCGAGGTGGGGTTATAAGCTTGGGACAGGAGCTGGTGATGCCGCTTAACCCTGAAAATAAGAGCACCAATGTGGAGAGGTGGCTCGAGAGAGTTTAGGAGTTAGCTGAAGCTAATGCGTGGACTGATAAGGAGCAGTTACTAATCGCGCAGGCCAAATTGGAGGGGGCTGCTCGTGAATGGTACAATGGTGTCCGAGCTCCGAGAACGTGGGAGGAATTTTCAGGAGGTTTGACAGCGGCATTTCCAAGAAGAGCTGATTTTGCTGACACCCTTAAGCAAATGGTGCTTAGAGTCAAACAAGATGGAGAGAGTTTGACTAATTATTATCATCGAAAGTTGGAGATGATGCGTAGAGTGGACCTGCATCAGGGGGAGCGTGCAGTTTCGCTGCTTATTCAGGGCTTGCCGGAGGATCTCAAAATTGGAGCTTTGGCGTCCAACTGCAAGACCCCTGAAGCATTGTATACGAGGTTTTTAACTTCGGTGCAAGCAGGGCAAGAATTCTGCAAGGAGCAAAGATTGGAGAAGAGAAGTGGAGCCTCTACCAGCGGCGTGTCGCGGATTCGCTGCTACAATTGTCAGGAGATGGGGAACCATCTAGGCAAGGATTGTCCTCACTCAGCCTGGCCTGACAATGGTGGTCAGACAGGGCAAAGCCATGTTGTTGGAGGAGGAGAGTCCCGACAAATGGATGAGCAGCTTTGGTATGCCTGAAGTGGAGGAGGGCAAATATGTGATTCGGCTAGCAGAAGAGCTATGTTGCGAATCATTTGCATCTCAGATGGTCAAGGTCGATGTGAGTGGTAAACAAGGTGGCGATTTTGTTATGGTGGACAAAGTTGTAACCACTGAACACGGCTACCTCATGATACATGGCCAACTTCTGAAGCTGGGAATGGAGAACCAGTTGCTGAAGGTGACCAATCTCACAAAAAAGGAGATTCATTGGAGAAAGGGGCGTGTATTGTTTCGTTTGGAGTTAGGAGGCAACAAGGAGGCCAAGGCTGGAGAGAAAAAGAAAGCAACCAAAACTACACAGGTGAATATTATTAGTTTAGGTGATAAAATTGGGCAAGTAAAAATGGGGGATGTGTCTGATTTATGTAAGAATGAACTAATGACATTATTAAAAAGTAGGGAGGCATGTTTTTCTAAAAATGATGTTGATGTAGGTTTCACGACGATAGGTAAAATGGAGATTAAAACAACAACCGATGTGCCGATATTTCACAGACCCTATCGATTGTCACACTCAGAGCGAAGTTTGGTGAGAGAAAAAATACAAACACTTAAGGAGGCTGGTGTTATCCAAGATTCAGAGTCCAATTACGCTAGTCCAGTGGTGTTAATACCAAAGAAGACAGGAGATGTGCGCATGTGCGTAGATTATCGTGCTCTTAATGCAATAACGGTAAAGGACAGGTACCCATTGCCGTTGATTGAAGACCAATTGGAGAAATTGAGTGGCAAAAGGTATTTTACTACCCTGGATATGGCTCAAGGCTACCATCAGATGGCAATGCATGAGAATTCGGTGGCAAAAACAGCATTTATAACACCTGATGGTCACTACGAGTATTTGAGGGTTCCATTTGGTCTGGCCAACTCCCCAGCTGTATTTCAACGAATGGTGGACAGAATGTTGGGTGAATTGAGACACAAGGAAGTGCTAGCATACATGGATGATATCTTAATACCTTCACATGGAGAACAAGATGGTCTTAAGTTATTAAACGCTGTGTTAAAGCTAATTGAAGAGGCTGGTCTGAAGCTGAGATTGGAGAAATGTTCATTTATGCAGAATGATATTGAGTATTTGGGACATGAAGTATGTGGTGAAGGCATAAAGCCTGGAAAACGCAAAATACAAGCTGTTCTTGATTTTCCTTGTCCGACAAATGTACGAACGGTGAGACAATTCGTTGGATTGGCATCTTACTACAGGAAATTTATCGAGGGATTTTCTGTGATTGCCAAACCGTTGACCAGTCTAACAAAAAAGGATGTCGCGTGGAAATGGGGAGAAGAGGAACAAGGTGCCTATGAAAAACTAAAGGAGTTGCTAAGTCAAAGACCAGTTCTAGCTATATATAATCCTCAAGCTGAAACCCAGGTGCATACTGATGCCAGCAAACATGGACTTGGTGGCATTTTGATGCAACGAGTTGGAGACAAAGATTGGAGACCAGTAGCATATTTTAGCAGATGTACTACCACTGCTGAACAGATGTATCATAGCTACGAGTTGGAGACTTTAGCTGTCGTGGAGTCAGTGAGGAGATTTCGAACATATTTGGTGGGCATTCACTTCAAAATCATCACTGATTGTGTTGCCATAAGATCAACTCTGTTGAAACGAGATTTGGTGCCTCTAATTGCTAGATGGTGGTTGGCAATACAAGAATATGATATGGAGGTTGAGTATCGAGCTGGAACCAAAATGCAACACGTGGACGCTTTGAGCAGAAATCCACTTGAATTGGAGCGTTGTATTGAAATAAATTTGGTTACCATGAATGAAACTGACTGGTTTTTGTCGGTGCAATTGCAGGATTACAAAGCAAAGCAATTGGTAATGACTTTAAACTCGAATATTGCTGACAGAGAGACACAGAAGTTATACAAAGTTAAACAACAACGATTATATCGCATAACAGATAATGGAGATCGATTGTATGTACCCAATATGGCCAGATTTACGCTGTTAAGAAGGTACCATGATGATATTGGTCATCCAGGAGTCGATAAATGTGCAGAATTGGTAAAAAAGGAGTATTGGTTTCCCAAAATGAATAAGTTCATTAAAAAGTATGTTCAATCGTGCATAAGATGTGCATTTTCAAAAGGTGACTATGGAAAAGGAGAAGGATATTTGCATCCAATAGACAGGAGGCCAGTGCCTTTTGACACTGTGCATATCGATCATTTGGGCCCATTCATGAAGAGCACTAGGAAAAATTCCTACTTGTTGGTGTTGGTGGATGGATTCTCGAAATTTGTCATAGCAAAGCCAACTAGAACAGTCAATTCAAATGAGACCATTGAGAAACTGATGGAGATATTTGGTGAATTTGGATATCCCAGGAGAGTTATTAGTGACAGAGGTTTGGCTTTCACTAGCAAACAATTTAAAGCATTTCTGGAGGAAAAATGTGTGCGACACGTTTTAAATGCTATTGCAACCCCTCGGGCAAATGGGCAAGTGGAGAGAGTAAATAGGAGTTTAATACAGGCGATCGGAGCAAGTGCCTCTAGTGAAGCTAGGTGGGACGAAAAATTACCAGAGATTGTATGGGGATTAAACAATACAATAAACAGGAGTACGAAATTCGCACCTAGTGAATTAATGTTTGCACATGGAGAAAGTCGCGGTTTAGTTGTTGAATTGGAGACTGGAGAGCGCGCTAATGTTGGAGAAGGAGAACAGGCAAAGGAAAGTGGTAAAACTGTAGCGACCACAAGAAAATCAGGAGTTGCTGGAGGTAGCAAGGAGACTATAGGAGGCAAATCAACTAACACCCAAAAGCTTAGAGATGACGATCTCGCACAAGCTGTAGATTTGCGACAACAACTAACACGAAAACGCGCATTGGCTGCAGAAAATATACAAAATGCTGCTCATAAGATGAAAACTGCTTATGACAAACGACGAAAAGTAGCTATTAAATACAAAATTGGTGATTTGGTGTTATGGAGGCATGGAGCTACGAATAAATGTCAAAAGGGCCTAAATCGCAAGCTTGCAAATAAATATGATGGACCTTTCAGGGTGTGCAAGGTAAACAGCAATGACCGATATGTCATTGAAGCCATAAAAGGAGTAAAAGGCTACAAAAGGTTCAAAGCGCATGTCGCAGTGGATGCATTGCGTCCATACAATAGTGTTAATGATGTAATGAGTGATTATGAGAGTGAGTCTGAGTGAATGTGGGGCCCCCTTGAAAGAATGTGTGTGAGAATGTTGTATGTAATGATTCTGTATTATTAATAAACTTTCTTTCCCTTTCAGGAACAAAAAAAAAAAATGGTTTGTGTATTACTAATAAACTTTCTTTCCGTTTCAGCAACAAAACAAAAAGAGAGTATAGCTGGAGAGGTACTCGCATGAAGTAAATTGGTGATTGACAATTGAGTAGGAGAAATTGTCTTGAGACCAAAATAGGAGTGACATATGGAGCACTAACAGTAAATATTACGGAGCCCAGTAGCACCTAAAATCGGAGACTTCTACAATATTTAGGTAACATAGGTGGTGGTATAATGAGGACATTATTATTTTGCAGGATGGCCGAAATGTTAGACGTAAGTTTAAAAAGCCGTACTAGGTTAGGTGGCCACTGGAGGGCGCCACTACTCGGATGGTAAAAACGGGAGCTGCCATCCCGACGGAGAAGAAGAAGAGGAGAGCGTTGTTTTGGAGTAGATAAGCTTGGTGTCATTTTTAATTTTAAAATAAATTAAAACAGTTTACCGGTCATATTATTTAAAATACCTGACAACAATTTTTTTATTAAGGAATTAATAAGAAACTATAAATAAAATAGTTTTCTACTTTTTTTATTAAAAATATAAATACTCAATTCATTTCAACATCATTATTCATAAATTTCAATTTAATAACCAAAGTTGTGGGAGATGTAACATCAGCAACCATTATTTCAGACCCATCCTTTAACCCTAATTCTGTAAGTGTTTTATTTAAATTATCTTTTGTTTTTTCTTCTATACTTTTTATAGCTGAAATATACAAAGTCTTATTTTTACCGCCAATTGTAGTAGTAATGCCAGGACTTTTCATTTGGTAAATAACACTTTCACATAATAATGAAATTATTTCCTTTAATTTCATTAGACTAGGGTCTTTTATTGGTAATTCTTGAGGTATTTGAGAACATACCAAACAATTTTCTTTTTTTTCTGCTTCATAAGTATAGGAATATATACCATCTACATCATTGAATACCATGTAGTTGTTCATGGGCACACAGCAACTTGTTGCTATTTTAAATACCTAAAAAATAATTAAAAACATACAAGATAAATACAATGAAATACTGTAGATGCCTTGGCTAAAAATAAATAAATACCCGGACAACAATCGGGATTTCCTGGTGAAGTCATGATGATATCACAACGTGTTTTTTTATCACGCTGTGATATCCTGAGTGCATACACAATGTGTATGCACTCAGGATATCACAGCGTGATAAAAAAAACATGCTTCATCACAGTGATATCATGTAGAACTCACGGTGTGATATTTGCGAATATTTTCTTGGATTTAAATTAACTATATATAGTTTATTTAAATCCAAGAAAATATTGAATGTTAAACTGTTGATTCAATTGTTAATACTTTTTCTTTCAATGTACAAATGTTTAGCAAAAATGAATATCCAAACACCGATGGCATAAAAAATCATGTCGTGATTTTTTATGACCAAACACCGATGGCATAAAAAATCATGTCGTGATTTTTTATGCCATCGGTGTTTGAATATTCATTTTTGCGACACATTCGTACATTGAAAGAAAAAGTATGTTAACAATTGAATCAACCCCAGTAAGCACAAACTAGCCGGCCCGCATATCATGTCGTGATTTTTTATGACCAAACACCGATGGCATAAAAAATCATGTCGTGATTTTTTATGCCATCGGTGTTTGAATATTTATTTTTGCACCACATTCGTGCATTGAGAGAGAAAGTATACCTACATATATGGATATTGAACCAACAGATTTTGTGATTAAATACATTCAATATTTTTTTGGATTTAAATTAATAGTTAATTTACATCCAAGAAAATATAAAATGTATTTAACCGCAAAAACTGTTAATTCAATTGTTAACATACTTTTTCTTTCAATGTACGAATGTGGCGCAAAAATAAATATCCAAACATGTCGGTGCACCGATGGCATAAAAAATCATGCCGTGATTTATTATGCCCAAACACCGATAGCATAAAAAATCATGTGATTTTTTATGCCATCGGTGTTTGGATATTTATTTTTGCACCACATTCGCAGAGAAAAAGTATACCCATATACATTAGGGTGGAGCGAAAAAAAGAAAAATTTTTTTTTCCTTAGCCTGGGGGTGGAATTTGTAGCCTATAAAAAAAGAAAATTTTTGAAATAAAAAAAATTTTTTTACTCAATGTCTTGAGGTGGCCCACTGATTTTTTAAATTAAATTTAAGTTAAAATTCTTTTGAATAAAAAAAAAATTTCAAAAGTGTTCCGGAAACTGCGGAGTGTCCTCTTTCTTGCTAATTAATAGTTATGAACTTAAAAAAAATTTTGTGGTCATTATTGTTGTTTTTAAAAAAATTCCAAAATAGTAACAGGCAATAGAGCGAATTTCGAGTTAAACACGATCAAATTTGTTTATTTTTGGATAAATTTGAAGATTACAAGCCAAAAAAATTTTTTTTTATTCAAAAGAATTTTAACTTAAATTTAATTTAAAAACTCAGTGGGCCACCTCAAGACGTTGAGTAAAAAATTTTTCCGTATGATATCAGTATGAATAAAATTTGTGAAAATCACGACATGATGTTCGTATGAATATCACGAATGTTGTCCGGGATATATCCACAGATGCTTTGTATAGCTGCAACAAGGCTTTAAAGTTAAAAGTATACTTCATTGTACATGAAGCATGTAAAATTGTGTACTTATATATAAACACATACATAAAATCGACAGACGCGTTAAGCCGGGTCTACAATTGTCGCAGGGGTCCGATCGCAGAACATAAGCTTGCGCAAAGCACCCCGCGACGTGGCGATGGAGCAAGGTTCTTTTGTCAGCTGGGTGCTTTGCGCAAGCTTAAGCATAATTATGTTCTGCGACCTTCGACAATTGTAGACCCCGCTTTAGATATTATATATATATACTTTAAAGCCCTCTAGCGGCTAAACTACGTAACTTAGGATATGGTTAGGTGGGTAATTCAACCTATTTTGAACCTATAGGAATCCTTGCTATTTCATGGTACACAATATATAAGTTATAACTTACTTCAGTCGCACATATTCCGGCAATTATAGCATTTGTAGAAGCCACGGCTGGAATAATATTCTTTACCACACCCTGTACAAGACGATATGTAACCCCAGGTATATTAAAATGTAAAGCTCTCTCCATAGATTTTTCATAAATCCACCCAATATGTTGAGGATCATCACCATCTAATGCAGTGTTAAAAGGGTTTTCTTTTGGCCATGTAATTACTTTAACATATTCAATACAATGCTCAGGGAGTCTAGGTGTGTTTGCAATGGTACATAAGGGGTAGGTCACTTGTGGTGGGTATAAATCCAGGGTGCACTCAACACAAGCACTCATTCCTGGCAGGATAACCCTGGCATTGCCTTTAAAACCTTCAGTACCTAGATAAAAATAGTATATAAGAATTAAACGGGGTACACTAAACAGCTTGGGATATAAGTAGATCTAAAGAAGCTAAATTACCTATATTATTATTTTGTTTAATAAAAGTATTTTAATTTTTTTATTTTGGATTTTTAAAGATAATTTTAATTCACTAGTAAATATTATTTATCTTACACAGGATGTCCCGAAAATGGCGCAGTATACTGTACGCTATAGCGTAATACCTACTATGCGATAAAGGGGATATTTTAATCGTTTAATATAAATAAATAGCCTTAAAATATCGATGGTTATTTGACAAAACATCGTAAGCGACAAAACCAAAATTTTACAGGAGAGATTTTTTTTTGTGTGGGAGCTTTATTTTTAAAGTTATATATCTGAAAACTGGTGAGGCATTATTTTATTAATGAATAATTCAGATATTTAAGTTAGATCGAATATAATCTAAAATATTCATTCAATTTTGTGGCATACGATATTTTATAAAAACATCTTTAGGAAAATGTAAAATTAGTCTTGTCGTATAAGTTTCATTTACGTTACTTTGTGGGATATAGATTGATGATTACTTTTGTCAAAACATCGTTAGCGACATTTTTTTTTTTTTTAAATACAAAAAAAATAATTTATGAAATATCACCAACGATATTTTGCCAAACAATGTTTGAAAATGAAAATCTACATTAGCTTTCTTTGAAAAAAAGAACGATTTTTATTCACAAATCGGTATCTAACCCATGCATGGTACCATGATCTAACCGTTATACAAGTTATTTGACGCTGAAACCACATATAATTACTACAAAAAACACTTTTAACCCGTAACTGGAGAATCTTTACCACGTATTAAATCATGGTGCAAGGCTCGCTCCCCCTGTAGAGTTTTCATTTGGGGTTTGGTAAACCAGTTATGTAACAAAAAAGTGACCTCACCAGTTACGGGTTAACGAACCACACTAGGTAACAACAATTATAATTAGGATAACTATTAATAATGCAATGAAATAAAGTAATTATAAGCTTTTGATCAAATAAAATATTATTTTAAAACTTGGTAGCAATCACCACGATGCAGGTATACTCATGAATAAAATGTTTATATCGGGAATAACGCCTTGAACATATAGGCGCTTACGTTCTAAATCGGTAACAAATTAAAAAGAAGAGGCGCTTACAATAATTAAAATATTCAAACTGACCAATATTAGATTCCAAAATTGGGATTACTATTTTGTTAACATGTGCCGCTTATCGTAACTGACACTTTGATAAAATAAAAAGTAATTTAACAAAATTGTCGCTAACGATGTTTTGTCAAATAACCATCGATATGTAAATAACAACAATTAATGTTAATTCTAAAACTATAGCAATGGGTAAGGTGACCAACTTTCTAAAATGAAAAACCAGGACACAATATTCCTCTCTTCGCCCTTACAAAAAATAAACAAAATTTATTTTATTTAATATTTTTTATTTGAAAAAAAGATGTGCTAATTTTGTTGTACTTTGTACCATCGTCAATTAATTTATGTACCATTTTTACCAATTTGCATGAATAATATAATAATAATAATAATATATAAATACCATTATTTTTAGACCAGATTGTTTTCGTTTAATATAGTGCCAATTTTGTTAATTTATGGCCACCATTATGGTAAAAAATGTAATTTGTCTGGCCTACCTATACACTCTGCCTCATAGGTAGGCAAGATAAAGTACATTTTCCTGTGCCCTCTATTAAATGTTTGTGATATTAAACCAGAAAAGTTGTGCGGTGCAACCGATAAATGTTCTTTAATTTCCTAAATTTCTGAATAATGTATGTTTGGTGTTCTCCCTTGTGGAAATTTTTCTCTCAAAAAGTTTTAATAAGTAAAAGTAAGTTTTATTTTACGATAAGTTATTGTCGATAACCAAATACAACCTACCTCTGTGAATTATTCCGTATATTTATTTTTATCGCCATAGGTAGGTACCTACCATTTCTCTACTAAAAGTCTTATTAAGTCTTAAAAAGTCTTATTAACTCTTCCAGAAGACTCCCAAATCTTGCTATTAGTCTGACTTACTAAGACCTATTCAGACTTTTTCCGACTTAATAAGTCCTATTCTGTCTTTTTCCGACTTAATAAGTATTATTCAGACTTTTTAAGAGAAAGTAAGACTTTAAAAACTCTTATTAAAACTTTCTCAGAGAAAAATTTTCACAGGGGCTGTCACAAAACTTCTGTGGTTTGAATAATAATTTATTATTAATAAACTCACAATCAAGAAAACTTTCTAGGCGGGACTACCCGGACAACATTCGTGATATTCATACGAACATCATGTCGTGATTTTCACAAATTTTATTCATACTGATATCATACGGATGTCACTGCGTAAGAAATGAAAATAATGTGATTTTTTTATGCCATTGCTGTTTGCGATTGACCGATGGTACAAAAAATCATGTCGTGATTTTTTATGCCAACGGTGTTTGGATAATCATTTTTGCGCTACGTTCGTACACTAAGAGAAAAATTATGTTGAATCAACAGTTTTTGTGGTTAAATACATTCAATAACTATATACAGTTAATTTAAATCCAAGAAAATATTGAATGTTAAACTGTCCCAGTAAGCACCAAACGGTTCGGCTTGCCTCCAGTCGTCCCGCTTATGGCCCGCGTTATGTTAGCCCGGTACCGTTTGGCCATGTTCTAACCAAAGTCGGCCAGAATACGGCATGCCGCTACAAAATCGTTCGGCTTGCCCTAGCCGGCCCGCTTACGGCCGGAATACGGTCTGCCGCGGCATAAGCTATACATCTCACGGCTGCTTACGCAGGCGAGCTAACTATAAATAGCGATGGGTTACAATATTTAGTTGGAAGTGTGCGTCTGTAAGGGCATAGCTGAAAATTAATTGTTTAAAATCCCCATCTCCATCCTCATTCTGCTCAGTAACGAATAATAGCTAGCTACATGCCGGAACAAATACATGTGTCGAGCCGCACGCGGCCGATTCGGCAAAACATATTCAGGCCATATGCGGGCCGGCTAGTTTGTGCTTACTGGGGTTGATTCAATTGTTAACATACTTTTTCTTTCAATGTACGAATGTGTCGCAAAAATGAATATTCAAACACCGATGGCATAAAAAATCATGTCGTGATTTTTTATGCCATCGGTGTTTGGATATTTATTTTTGTGCCACATTCGTACATTGAGAGAAAAAGTATACCTACATAATATGTAGTACATATACAGTGTGGCCCACTTAAGATGGAAACACCCCCGTAACTTTTTTATTTGTAACCCGATTTTATTGAACAAAGGCTCAAAAGATAGAGAATAAAAAACTCTATTAGAGCTGTTAAAGTTGTTTTCAAAGTCACCCGACACATGCCTACTATAATTTTTTTTTCTGTCAAAATTAAAAAAAAAACATTTAGGGTAATTTTTACGAAAAAAATAAGTACGCCACTGAATTTGGCATCCTTAAAAATGGGTAAATATCAAATTTCATTAAAAACAATCGATTGATAATTATTTTACAACGGTTTATTTATTGATTTTTTAAATGTTTATAACGACAATAGAAACACATATAAAAGGTTTAGGAAAAAAATAGGTACGCCACCGAGTTTGGTAGGCTTTAAAATGGGTATATACCAAATTTCATCAAAAATAAACAATTAATAACTATTTTGGGCAAGTTTATTTTTTTACGTTATAATCATTAATAATTAATTATTGCTACAAAACAAAAACTAAGATAGCTATGCTTACAACTTCAAACAAACGTCAAACCAAAAACAGGCGATTTGACAGAAAATAGTAGCGTCCTTTTTGTATTTTTAACAGTTTATTTAAAAGTTCTTATCTACAATCACTATGGCATCACCCATGGCATAAAAAATCATCTCGTGATTTTTTATGCCCAAACACCGATAGCATAAAAAATCATGTCGTGACTTTTTAGGTCATCGGTCAATCGCAAACAGTGATGGCATAAAAAATCACGACATGATTTTCATTTCTCACGCAGTGACATCCGGATGATGTCCGTATAAATAAAATTTGTAAAAATTACGACGTGACGTTCGTATGATTTTCATTTATCACGCGGTGACTTCCGTATGATATCAGTATGAATAAAATTTGTGAAAATCACGACATGATGTTCGTATGAATATCAAGAATGTTGTCCGGGTTCAATTAAAAAAGATATTTCAATGTTTAACAAAACGTTCACGTTCACGTGTACTTAATGTGAATAACAAACTAGGTTTTAAATTCGCAGTTCGCAGGGCTCATACGCATGGGCAAATTTTGCAAATATCACACCACGAGTTCTACATGATATCACTGTGATGAAGCATGTGTATGCACTCAGGATATCACAGCATGATAAAAAAAATCACGTTGTGATATCATCATGACTTCACCAGGAAATCCCGATTGTTGTCCGGGTACTTACAAGTTAAGGTAATAGCCACAAAAGCCTTTGGGATTTGAAGGGCTATTGCCTAATTTATTGAACCCTTAGGTGGTATTCAAAAGATTACACAAGGGAACAAAATTAAACTTTTTTTTTGTTGCATGGAATTTAATGCCTGTTGTTTATTAATTTCAGGTCGCTGATTTCAAATCTAACCTCATTTTTTCTTTAGCTGCTCTAGTTTTTGAGATACAGCTGTCAGACATATTCCTGTACTAGTCACATTTAAACGTTTGATTTGACCGAGCTGTTTTTTAAAAAAGTTTTTTAATAAATTAATTGCGGAAGCCGTAACTATAGGGAATATACATTCTAAAAAAATTATATTAACACTTTTTTCTTTGCTTACTACCACTATATTAAAATATTTATTACAAAATATTTCTTAAAAAATTCGTGATTTGTTGATGAAAAGATTCAAAACATAATTTCCCAACCCGAGATAATATTAGAATCAAGTACAACGAACACAAGTGGCTGATATGTGTAGATCTAAAAATGGT